CAACAACTTATAAAGAACAGAGAAGCAAAGATCTCTGTTTTCTACTTGGTAATTTGATTATTATACTCTCTTGCTCGGTGTTCTTGAAACCGGTGTGCTTCTATCGGTATCCGAGTTTTCCTCTTGCGATCTGCGCCTTCTCCGCTCCTGTAAGTTGAATTCTTGCTTATGTTTCTACAAATTTAGCATACGTTTCTGTTTCCTAAAGGTTTTAAAAGCAACACACTAACCTCTCTTGGTATAGGATATTCCTCGGACTCGAGCATTCGCACAACTTGGCTCATTTTAGGCCGCTTTTCAGAGTCAGGATCAATGCATCTAAGTGCAGTAAGAAGTACACGTTTCAATGCTCTAGTCGTTGGCTTAACCGCCATGTTTGGATCAGTTACTTCTTCTAATCTCTTAGATCCCACCATCATCTTCAACCACTCAACTAGATTCACCTGCAAAGGAATGTTAATCATGAATCTCAAAAACTCAGCAAATTATCAAATCCATTTCATTTCTCAATAGTCTATGTACCTCATTAGCAGGACGCGCATAATCCACAGGATCTCTTCCAGTTACTGCTTCTAAGACCAATACACCAAAGCTATATACATCACTCTTTTCATTCAAAAGTCCGGTATTCGCATATTCTGGAGCAACATACCTGCAATACTCAAAACAAAACCATTTGCTTAGCTTTTTGTTTCACTTACATTCACTTCTTATTTGTCTCAAACAAAAACATGGATTAGGTTAATTACCCGAATGTTCCCATCACTCGAGTTGTTACATGGCTTTTCCCATCTCCAAGTAACTTAGCAAGGCCAAAATCAGAAACCTTTGCGTTGAATCTATCATCGATCAATATATTGCTCGACTTGATGTCTCTGTGAACTACTTTTGGCTCGATCGCCTCGTGTAGATACGCAAGACTGCACAAGAAAGAAAACCATTACACTCTCAACAGAGAACAAATGTGAAAATGTAATCAAAAAAGAAAATGAAATGTTATGCTTACGCCTTGGACGTGCAAATGAGAACTTTCATTCTAGCCTCCCAAGTTAAGTATCCGTGCTGTCTCATTGCTCCGTGAAGCCATTCGTCGAGGTTCCCATTGTTCATATACTCATAAACCAATATCCTAATAGCAATAAACGCACAAAAATTTGGTTTCTTTTTACTCTCTAGATAATACAAAAGGATTTAGTCTTTATACCTGTGTGTGCCTTCAATGCAGTATCCTAGAAGACGTACCAAGTTCTTATGACGCACATGACCGATAGCATCAACCTCTACTCTAAACTCTTTCTCAGCTTGTCCCCTA